GTGGAGCTAGCGCGCTGCGGAAAAAACGAGCGTGTGCGCCGTTACGAAACGCAGAGATTGGTACCCGATTTTAAGGTCCTAGATCAACCGGTGACCTCTAAGGTCAGGTCAAGTGCCCCAAGGTACGGTTTAGTTTTTGGTGAATAGCTTCGGAAAAACTGCCGCAGAGCCGCGATTTTGGCAGCATTGTGTTCGCCTCGCTCGGGCGCGTCGAATGATATACCTACTTTTTGTTTGGGTCAGGTCAATTACTTGGGGTGTTGACCTCAGGTCACGGTCAGGTCAGCACCCAATAGTGGCTTTCCCGACTCGCTATCCCAATTTGATCAAGAGTTATTGACGAAAAACTAATATGACCTTAATGACGTCATAAATGACGTCACGCAAGGTCAACAAGTTGCCAGAGTGACGCATCTAACCTTGCAAGGAGTGCATTAAAAAAACGATTCTGGGTGCTTGAGATAGTTGGGGATCGTTCCCGGCGCCAGAATAGCAGTTTTCATTTTTCCCCATTGACTTATAATGGTGAGGTCACGAAAATGACCTGACCTCATATAACCTTTAGGAAAAATCCGAGATATACAAGTTGTGAGACTCATAATGGATACTAGATCCTGCAAATTTCATTTCCCTGTGACATCTCCTCTGGCAGTGAGGGCGTTGCGAAGTTGCGACATCTGAAGACCGTGCAGAGTTTTACTTATGACGTAATAGGTCAGTGACCTGACCTGACCCAAAAATTCGGTTGGTGTCAAAAGATCCGGCTTGAATCAAAGGTCAGGTATGCCAAGTTTCAGCTCTCTATCGCCAGCGTGTTTGGAGCTATCGTGAAAAAACCCTATGGGGGTTAATAGGCACTGGTGTAGACACTCAGAGTTGGGGGTGTGAAACGCTCAGAGACACCGGTGTATGCCCTCATAGGCGCCGATGAGGGCCATCATAGTGGCCGTTATGGGGCCCTCAGAAAAATAAGTGTGTGACCATCACAGGCGGGAAATGCCCCTAGAACTGGACCCTTCATAGGCCGGTAAGAACTCTCAGAGGCCAGTAACGGGCTTATGGAGACCACTGGGTACTGAGGGCCCTTAAAATCTGCAAGAGGCCCTTAGAAGGCGGCGTCGGGCCCTTTTGGAGATTTAAGTGTGGTTATTTAGGGCTCATGAGGTGCTCTAACGAGCCCCATAGGACCCTTCCGAGACGAAACATTGCCATCGTTAACCCTCAGCGGTCAAATGGCGCCGCAGGGCCTCTCGGACCCGAGGATCCTTTTGAACCCGATGGGGGGGGGGGTACGTGTCCCCTTAGAGACCCCTAGCTACGCCACTGCTTCATATGCATCATGACAGGTATTTTAGGCTCCCCCCCCCCCCACCCCCCAACTTGAAAATCGTTCCCGGGCCCCTTGTGTTCGGTCACCGATTTAGGGGCAGTACCGCACAGATTATGTGTGGCACGTCTTGTTGGCACCCACTTTTCTTTTATCTTTGATCTGAGGCTTTCAGCCGGCAAGTGAGCCGGCTGTGTTTTATCTATTTATGTAAAAGGATATCAAATGTGAAAGAACCCCGCGCCCCACTGGGGAGGGGCTATTCATAGCTCCCTCCCGTTTTTCTGCAATAACTTCCAAAGCGCTTGACGTATCGACGCCAAACTTTCAGTATCTTCGGCTGCATCAATGTGACACCTTATGTCAAAATTTGAACTTCGTAGCTACCATAGGTCGGCCAAAAATGACGTCAGAGTGACGTCATGTTCGGCCGATTTCGACGCAAAACATTGAACCACGGCAATCGCTCCCAAGGGCTCAGTTTATAAGCTAGATCCATTTCTTTGCATGAGAGGACTCAGAATAGACTGCGCTATCAAACTGCTATCTCGGATTTTCGAAATTTGGAAAATTTCGAAAATTTCATATAATAAAATTCAAAATTTACATTTTTACATTTTTCAAATTTTTTAACTTTTTGAAAAAAAAAAACGGAATATATGTGATAGAACGCATTATTATGACTAACTCTAGCAAGTTTTAGCTAAATATCTTCAAAAATGGCCAAGTTATACGCATTATTGCAAAAAACTCACAATTATTAATTTTTCAAATCAATTTTTCACCGCGTATTTGACATCGTATGCCAATATAAATAGCACCATTGTGTTCCGGAGCTCAAACTGCATCCAATAGACACCTTTTCTGTTGAAAAATTATAACTTCAAAATTTGACCTTTTTTGACCTGAAAGTGACCTGACCTAAGCTAAATTCGACTCAAAATGACCTCGAATGACACAGACGACATCAAATTCGAAATCTTTGGCCTAAATGGACCATAAAACATGTGTCACGTGACCGACGCATGATATGATAATTTCGTGACCTGTGATGACCTGACCTTGACCTGAAAATCAAAGTACAAGTTTGGTACCCTCAGGGTATCTAGAGCATCTGTTCACGAGTGTGTGAACCAAAAATGAGCCTGATCTGACTTGTAAGACGGCGGCCAGAGCCCAAAATGTGAACAAGCCAAAATGCTAATAATTTTTACTTTGACCTGACCTGTGACGTTATCGGTGACCTCGAGGTCAATGAAATTAGGTTCCGTTCGACAGTTTTTCCGGGGCTATCAGACGCCGTTTGAATTTTGACGATCGGCCCAGTAGTTTCGGAGTTAGGAGGGGGACTATGAATAGCCCTCCCCCCTCAGTAGGGCGTGTTATACGGCCCCAGTGGGGCGCGGGTTAACAAAAATGTGGCTGGAGCATTTATATTGAACATAGGTAGGATTCCAACAAAACATAGACAATTTGAGTCGCCCTGTCACGTCTGACACCGGTCTACGTTATTGCACCCCGTCAACTCAAGGACATTTCCGGTTCACGGTCAGGATTGAGCAGCTCAGATCGATACCAGTCGCGTGACCGTATGTTGATACTGGTCCGGCTTCAAAACAAGGTCAATGGCCCGGTGCAGTACATTACTGACGCCGTGCAGGACGTCTAGCATCGACCGGAACCGCGCTGCTGACGTTTTCACAGGGTCGGTATCCGTCAGTGGAGTAACCTACACCAGGGCGCTGTACTTTGGAGCGCCAGGGTCGCACGTACGCAGTTTGGGTGCCAAGGTACGTACCCCCCCCCCCCCCCAATGTTTGGCTACCGGATACACTTGGGGAAGACGCTACAGGGACAGAGTAGAGTGAAACATGCCGCTACATTTTGGTGCGTCGGACATGCAGTCCCAGTCCCAAAGTTGCCGAGAATGGCGCACCGACATCCGTTGGTGGGGCCGGTGAGGGATGGTTCCAACTATTCCGGAAATATAGCGGGCATTTACACGGAACAACTCTGAATTCAGGCGTGTGCGTCAGCAGTAGTTTCGGGAACCGGGTGACAGTCTGGGGACGCTGGCGTTGGCAAAGACGTCAACATTCTGAGTAATGACACTTTTAAAGCTTTGCGTGCGTGACAGGATCACTTAATTTTCCACAGGCCTACCAATTTAGTATAAGCTCCTCCGGGGTCGGATTTCCATGAACATGCCCGTCGCAGTCAAACAAACTTGGCTTTGTGCTGCGGACAAGCGCTAGCACAGCCATGTGATTGTTCGGTTCTCAGTAAACGTTGATATTTACTGGTTTGAATTGAAAGTCTGCAGTGCCAATACATAAACAGTCGAAATCCGCCCGACTGCCTCATTTGACCTTGGACGGGACTTCGGCATGAATTGGTAGTACGCCATCAATGAATGCAGCTCCTAACATTCCATATCGATCATGGCGAAAAGGCACATAGGCTATCGGGTGGCGTTATGGGAGGGATTGACGAATGGTCGGAAAACGTTTCATTGAGCCATTGCATTGAGCAGGAGCATTGGTAGCTAGGGTGTTTTGACATGGTTTACTAATATGTTTGATTAAAGGGACCCTCCCACGTTGCACACACCACTTTTGACATGATAAAGCACGGCCCGGGTCTCTCATTATGATCCCGGCAGCTTTCAGCGCGTATCAAGTTTCCGTGGTCTAACGTTGACTTTGGGTCATGCGACCCGACCTCCACGGCTCATAGGCTTCCGACTCCATTAACTGCCTAATGCATGCATGAGGTCGGATGGTGCACGGTCGTGGCCACCATCATTGTGGGCGCATTATGAATGTGCTGCAGACGACAGAGCAGATTTCTGGAATTATGAAACATAGACATTAGACATGCCGCTGAGTGCCACTTAATATTTGTTTCGTGGTTCATACCTACGAACCACTCAGTCCGACATTTTCCACGAAACCTTCACTTCTCATTGTGTAACGTCGGTTTTGCTTCGTCTACCCCTAATCGTCCGTCATTTACCACCATTTGCCGTATCGTCTTCCCTATTTCGTGTCGCCAGTCGTCAGCCCGCCGGCTTCTTTTGATGTCTCCTGAAGTTCTGCGCTGAACGCTCCCCAACTCTGTTTATTAAGTTTCTCGATGTCTGAGCAACTGGTGGATATCCCCAGACCTCGCACGACATCTGGCAGTGAATCGTATCAGGCCGTGCCCAGGCGTTCAACGCTATTGCAAGAAATTGGCACTGCGCCAGTCTGGCTCCTGGCATATAATCACATAATGCATTGTGCAGCTTCTTTGTGTTTCGGCTTAGTTGAGTAATTACGTAATAAGCCATGGCTTTTAAATGTTTTCTATTGGCAAAAAGAACTACGGCTTTTACCAATGGCGTCCGAATCGTATCGTTTTTCATTGCTTCTACTCATACTTGACTAAACCATGTCTCACTAATGTACTGGACCATACCATACCGAACGATTCGACAGCGTTTCGTAATCAACTGCGTCTTGGGGTACTGCTCTTCCCTGTGCCCTGCAATGTACCGTGTATGTACTGTGCTGGGACGAGGCAATCTGACCCTCTCCATCCCGCACACCTTGGTGATCCGTCAGCGGCCGAGCCTGCAGGGGGCAGGCGGCGTCCAGTGATGCCGAATCTGGCGCACTGTGGCGCCGAATCTGGCGGCCGCCCTCCTGCACCGCACCGGCAGCCGCCGACCACGACGAAGCGGCAATTTCGGCTAAGTGTGCCGTCGCATTCGACGCGGGCGGGCCCCGAGGCGGCGGGCCGTCGGTGGCGCCGGCAGACGACGAGCGGACCTCGGAGCGAGTGGGGGTGTGACGCTCCGGGAGTTGGACCGAGTGAAGAGTGACGGGTCACCGGAGAGGAGGTGAGTTGGATGGGAATGGGATGGCAGACGTGCTTTGTGGGTGTACACTGCACAGTGAGAGGCTCATTTGCGGTGGCAATTCACTTGAACATGAACATTGAACATGTGTTGTTTTGCGTTGTTACACTCGATTCACGATATGACATTTACTAATTTTGACAGAAGCTAATTCTGTTAAAGAAGCAAGTCGATGTTTTGAAAACATATGGCACTAGGACGTTCAGTTCGATAGGTCGTCATTTAATGACTATCGGCATCTCTTCAAATTAGTGTTCCAAGTCGTTAGCGCAATGTTCAGTGACTCTGGGGTGCAGTTGAACCACAGAGAACACATAGAGGATCGCGTCATTGCCGCAGTGATCATGAGCTGTTTTGTAAGTGTCCGCGAAGTATTAGTAACTGAATAATTTCTGTAAATGATTGAACCGTTACGTAAGCTCAATATGTGCGAGGTACATGGACTGTAGAAGTACAAGAACATCAGACCTGCAAACCTGAGATAGTAGTGCCAGCTGTTATGCCTGCAGACTGCTATCGTGAGAATTGAATAGCTGCATTGAGGCTATTGCTGCAATTCAATTCAAGAATTGAATAGCTGCAAGTGTGATTGCTTTATAGCATCACACCTTTTGTATTTATGTGGCAGCCATGGCTGTTTTACACGTTTTGGCAAATATGGTACTGTAGGGTCAGAAATCTGAAAGCAATCTTTGGAATATTGTTAAAAACAGCAACAAAACAATTATGCGCCAAATTGATATGCTCGCATGTTGCGACAAATCCTGTGCATCAGATAAATGCCTTTGTACTGAATTGAAGGAAATCTGTTCTTAAACGCTTTGTAGCCAGAATGTAACTAAGAGTTTCTGGAGGAAGTTAGAACTTAGACCTAAAGTTAGTCGTACTTGTGGAACTAGATACCAATTAGACAGAATAGTTTTCGCCAACGCTAAGAACTGCGGTCGAAACCAGGTTTCAGTCACAAGATCCGCGATACGCGGTGTGGTGTTTGTTTTACGCCGCGTGTGGCGTGCTGTGCCATTTTGTGTCGTTGCGACGGAGCGAGGCGTAATTCGGAGCGACGCCGGCCGTATGGCGTAGTGTGGTGGGCCACGACCAGACGGTTATGGCGTGAGACGGTCCTTGTCGGTGATGATCTCTGATGTGACTATTCGTTTTCATTACCGTGAATTGGATACTTGCCGGGCGTACATTGCGCGGCCGCGCCCAACCAACTGCACAATGACGCTTTACTGCTTATGCTGTAATTTTATGCAATTCACGACTGTAGATATGTCACGAAAGGAAAAGAACAATGAAACTGGTCAATTTGAAGCAATTGTAATTAATCAAGTGTACTTGACCGCTGAAGGCTGTGAAAGCCATTGCTCAAGTTTTACGTCTCAAGCCGCCGGGGCCCGATATTGACATGATGTCCAATTTATGTTCATTCAATCGTCCTCTTGTTTTGACTATTTAGAAGGTAATTAAAAGTAAAATACAAAAACAGTCTGGTGTGAAAGCTCTTTAACTCATTTGTGCATAGCTGTCGTCATTACATTTTGAAAAGGACATTGTTTCGATTCTCGGAAAAATAATCCAGCCGATTTTGTTAGCTTTTCATTTCTTCCATTTGACCGTTTCCATGAATGTTTTAACATTCTAACCTTATGAAACTGTAATGTTTACCACCGATAAAAAAGATATTACACACGAAGATTTTCGGCGGATAATGTCACAGTCCCGCCTGCATAAATATGATTAGAAAGGCTGGTGTTTGAGCCATGCTATCGGCTATATGCACACCTCGTTTCGGGTGCAAATGAGCACGATAAAATTAACTAGGGCGGGTTTTGAGCTGTTATTTTTTCTTCTCCTTTTACCGTCCATTCGCTATACATAGGCAATGCAAAAACATTTTGTTCAGGTCCTCACTACATACATCGCCCAATAGTGCGTTCTGATCTATCGTCTACGATTCGCCACGGCGTTTTCTGGAGGTTTCCGTTTCGCATGTCAGCTTGTGTTCAGGTGTGCATGCCGAGGGCCATTCCGGCGCCCGATCCTGGTCCATTCATTCCAGTCGAGCCCCCTCCCCTAGTGTGGGGGCAGGGACCGGGTCAGGCTCGGTCGAGTGAACACGTCACGCCTACGGTCAGCTCCCGTCGGTAACCGATCAATCAATGTGGTGACAAAGTTTAGCTGCACTGAACAGTGAACACTGACGACACCAACGCAGGGCATCGGCCGCGTTGGAGTGATGTAAATCTGCTAACTGCCCCGTGTGGTGTAACCAATGGAAAAGTCGGAAGTGTTACGGCTTCCATTCTTTTAAGAAATGACCCAAATTTGAAATCAGCATTTAGTTGGTCATGTGAAGAAAAATATAGAAATAGCCCATTGGAAAAAGCAGTTTCCTTGACAGTGAGCCTTATGACTTGTGCTTTTGATATACAAAATACGTAGATACCACAATAATACCAATGTGCTTGCGTAAATGATACACTATTTCTGTCGTCCCTTGACCTCCAATAGCCACGGAAGCGCAGCATTCGAAAGCCACAGCTCGCACAGCCGAGTCTTTCGTAGGTAGTTATACTGTACCGTAGCGCTGAGAAGCATTGCGGTACAGCATAAATACCAGGCGTTTGGCTGGACAGGAATGGCCGCTCCCGGTGGAAGAACGCTGGATCGTGTAACACGTTGCCGACTTATTTCGTAAGAAAATAATCAATGGCGAGAAGCTATGTCAGCGAGCCATGACAGATATTATTCTCATCGGGTTTTATGCGAACATCATATCCAATGCACATGCTATGGTTTCTCGCCCCTTTCTATGGATAACATGAATCATGTTATCTATGCTCAAACATATATTAGCAATAGTTTTGAAGACCGGAACACATTTTGTGGTGTTTTTCTTTTTTTGCAAATTTTAGATGTTATTGTTTTCCATCACAGACATTAAATGACACTTTTATATCTTTACAGGGTATGCTGACACGTGCTGAGCGTTTCGGCTGGTTCAACCTGGTCGCCCAATAGGTGTTCATCTCGTGGTGACGAACTACAGTCGGCATGCTATGTGACAGTCGACACAGGCCGCGGGCTGTTCGCACGCTGGCAGTCATCGGCCTCTTCCTTATCGCCAGAACAGGTGAGTGGAACAGGGGTGCATTGTCCTGAGCCCTTTGAACGTCATTTGATTTCAAACGTTAGGGTGCCAGTGACGGGCGTATATTTAAGGATACCTTCATACGTTTTCATTTAGCGTTTGGTATGATCTGGCAGATCCCTTTCAAGCAGTATATTATAGATTTGCACCTCAACAACGCAACATGGCTCAGTAAAATTTTTAACGAATACAATTTCGTTGACGGATACAGATACCAAATAAGTACTGTTGAATGAAGCAAATTTATGAATGTTTCCTTTGAATGCCGTCTGACATATGGTGCATATTAAGCTTTTAAGGCACAAGCAATCTGTCCAGGAAAAGCATTGCCCCTCATTGTATAATGAAATATAGATCAAACAAATTTCTTATTTCAACATCAGTATAATTTTGTGTTAACACAGCTACGTCGGTTATTTCATTAACTTTGTTTTTGTGGAATATATCACTCCATGTTTTCCGTCTAATTCAAGAGCTTGCGGGAAATCAGAGTTGGATCCATCTGTTTCCAACCGAATGACTGTCAATCTGTTGGCTAAAAGCACCACAGCTCCTACCCCTAACTCATTAGCTCAATCAACCATGCATTGGCAGCTAGACACATGACAAAATTAACAAATATGTTTTGAACGAACATCGGATGAATCTTCCGTGCTTAATGGGGATGATTAACCTAATCACAGTATATACATACAATTTTACAACCTTGCCGAAACCTTCAAACTGAGTCATTTACAAAACATATGCATAGCACCTGAGATGGTGGGTGGGACAGACGGTACGGCATGTGCCCGCGGGCGTCACAGACGGCGGACAAACCACCGCCGTCTGCTCTCTGCACTATGTTGATCGAGCGTGCTCCGAGCACACGAATATGCTATCCAATTACCTGACCGGACGGAGGCGGCGGTGCCGGCTGTCTTTTCCCACGGAAACGCGTCCGTTCCCCCGAGCTGCAGCTCTCTCCGGCTGTGGGATTCCCCGCTGCACAACTTGCATGCGCAATTGTGTGCAATGTAGAGTCCAATTCAAACACAACGAAACATGAATGCCGCTCGCGGATTTCGTTCCGAGTTCCTATGGATGGATCGCGTTGATGCTTTGTCCGAGGTTGGTGACCTGAGTTCGGGACGAGATCTAAGATTTGTGTGGCTTATGAGCCGTGAACTTGGATGAAGAATGGCGGTCGTGAGCTCTCAGTGAAGCGTGAGTTGGGCCAAGTGCAAGGTTTGATGGCTTTGTCTTTGGCGACTTTTATAAGAGTCCAGCAGCTATGACAGTACGCATGACTCAGGAGTCGTTCATCATACATGAAGTTCTGCTCTTTATCCGAATGAAGCCGCGGCTTGGCTGTCGCCCCTGGGACTCAGTGCCTAGAGCGAGCAGCCCCTTCCCCAGGCTGCTATACTAACGGCCATCCGTCGCTCGAAGCCAGAGTCCTGTTCATCGTGCTGTGAATAATGGACGTCGCTGTCGTCGACGGCCGCAGTCAAACAGTCAAAGCTGCAGACGTGAAGCCTTCGCCGCGTCCCTATAGAAAGATTTCCGACTGACAGCGTAATATGAGACATGTGTGATACAATTCCATCACTGAGCCGCTGCGTGATGGAATTCGATTGTAGTACAATAAATGTTTCACATTCACACTCATTTTGATAGACTTACAAAAGAAGCCAACTGTAGCCGCCACGGCCTCAGCCGTGGGCCAAACCGAGCGCCCTCGTAGTCACACACGCTGTGCCGTCAACTGGACCTCTATTCGTCTGCATCAGCTCTCGAGGCAGTCCGAAACTGTCCGTTACTGCCCGGACACAAACACACAGACAATGCATCGGTCAGTACACAATCACGTCCACAACCGACATGTCCGAACAAAACGACATATTGTGAGCCGTGCATTGAACATAACATGAAATAAATATTGCTGCAATTCTAGAACCAGTGTTAATATTACGCTATCATTTACTCGATTAATTAACACTTAACCCGCGAGTTGCTGGGGAGGGGCGTTTAACGCCCCCACTTTTTTCGCCGGGCCATAGCATAAAAACGGTGCGCCGCAGGCGCGCCAAATTTTGGGTACCTCTAGGGAATTGATTAAAGTATATTTTGCCAACGTTTCAAAAAAATCGGTCCAAACAAATTTGAGATATCGAGGTTTTAGTGACGTCATGAATTCTGACTTTTCAACCAAAAACGGCATATATTCTAAAAATCATATAAAATCACAGAATAGACATACAGACATGCCGTAAACGCCATTAGACTGCCAATTTTATGTACAATCAAATGGCCATATTTGATTTTTGATTAACGTTCTACATTTTCCAAAATCTTGAACTAAATCTTGGCTATTTCTCGTGACACTTCACGATCATGATGCATGTTTTTCCTAAATTGATATTTTTCGATCAATAACGTACTCGTATGATAAAATAAATAACACCATCGTGTTCTACGCCCAAAAATACCCATAAACCATGTGTCATAGACGGCGAATACCAGTTTTGATTTTCTGGGGTATGCTCTTACCTGATTGACCTGGCCTTGACCCTGACCTATGTTTGACCGACCCCTATATAGATCTGATACTCTTGTAGCACTTATATGAAGGATTGTGCACCGTTTTGACAGAGTTTATGACGAGAGGCGCCCATTACGAGGTTCTGAAGTCCATGCTACCGAAAGTCCGATTTCAGGTGCTTGAACTGACCTTGACCTGATCTGTGACCTTAAAATTCAACTTTCAAGTACTCATCTGCAGCGTCTCGTCGCGTTCTTTCGTTTGCCGCCTCGTGCGTTTCGCTGCAACCATTGGTTCTCGAGTTATCGGCTGGGGGCGTTTAACGCCCCTCCCCAGCAAACGGCGGGTGGCGAAATACCCCAGCAACTGCCGGGTTAACGATTCGGGCAATTTCGTACAGTAATTCAGACGCAACGTTTAACATACCGGCTGTTCACGTCTCCGGCGCTCAACAAGTCGATCTCGTCACGAAGATTGCTCCGTCCACACGGTCCGTCACGGGGGAACCCACAGCCACAGCTCGGCCGCCAAACATCCCCGGACTCACGAGCAGCCCGACTCCGCGGTGCTCACTCTGCCTAGCGAAAGTAAACACGTATACATAAATCAAACTCGAACAAACAGCTATATATATAAAAAACGACAATATATTAAAATACACAATTAAAAAACAGAGCTTTCGGTAACAAATACCTTGATCACTGTGTGTATGCTAAAATGATAACACAAAACACAAAACACAAAACAGCTATATTACGTGAATGAATCGATCAGCATGTTTAAAGCAATATCAAGAAAGAATAAAGTATAATTCAAATACAGAATCCACTTACAGTTCGCGCAGCTCCAGCTCACACGTCCGCCCCTCAGCACACCGGGCACAAAACAACGCCCTCTACTCGGCCCGCGCGCACAAGGGTCACGCTCGGTCACGTGACCGCGGCCAGCTGCCACATCGGCACTCGCCCGACTCAGCTAGAGGTGCAAGTTTAACTGCTGACGTGTGGCATCAAAGGAAGGGTGGGGGATTAAATGCGAACCGCGGGCGCCATTAACACCAACACTTAGCAACGCGTATATTACTTGCGATGATCAGTTTCCTTATTTGGTTGAGAATGTTATTACGAGCGAGCGAGCGCAGCGAGCGAAGCGAAGTCTTTTCAATATAACGGAAAAATCTCAGTATGAGCGGCCCGGCCCGGCCCGGCCCGGCCCGGCCTGTAACGCTTTTGAGAGGCTTATATCTCAGCAACCGCTGGACCGATTGGCCTGCGGTCTTCTTTGCTGGGTAGCCCCATCCCTTCTATCTCGTAATTGACTACTTTTGATACATCTCAGTGACCGTCGTGGCACGTGCCACGTGAAAACTCAAGGGTGTTCAAGCTGTTTTACAAAAGTAGTGATTTTGAGAGGCTCATATCTCAGCAGCCGCTTGGGCGATTGACTTGTGGTAATTTTTATAGGGTAGCTGCATCCTTTCTACCAAAAATAGGATACTCTCCATGCATGTGGGTCACCCCCAGTGCACGTGCAAAATACAACAATAAGAGGTGTCAATTTTGTTCCCATTTTAATAACTCGGTAATTACTGGGACGATTTCGCTGAAACTTGGCATACAGGTAGGCACCCACCACGCAATGCATTCCCATGTGTTGCGGTTAAGGTGCTACTGCACGTGCGCACGTGCAGGGGGCGCTTCCAGATCTCGAGAACAGCTGGGCCGATTGCGCTCAAATTTGGTACACGGTTGGAGACCGGTTAGTAGGGTGCCGTGCAAAAGTCAGTTTGGACCCCGTTTGCACGTGCGCACGTGCAGAATGCCGCTTCCAGATCTCAGGAACGGCTGGGCCGATTGCGTTCAAATTTGGTAGGTAAACCGCTAGCAACCGGTTAGAAGGGTGCTTTGCGCAAGCCCGTTGGAAGTACCCTCTCGCCCTTCCGCACGTGCAGGGCTCACTATCTCGCTCGCTCGTTCTTCGCCCAAAAGGCGTTTTACTGGTAAGATATATTTGCATAAGATTTACAGTGTGGTATGCTGAGTTAACCCGCGAGTTGCTGGGGGTGGGGGGCGTTAAACACCCCACTTTTTTCGCCGGGCCAGCCAAATTTTGGGTTCCTGTAGGGAATTGATTGAAGTGTATGGTTACAAAGTTTCAAAAAAATCGGTAGGGAAATTTTTGAGATATCGAGGTTTTAGTGACGTCATGATTTCTGAGTTTTCGACCAAAAACGGCATATGTTCAAAAAATCATATAAAATCACAGAATAGACATAGAGACATGTCGTAAACGCCATTAGACTGCCATGCATGAGCAATCAAATGGCTTTCTTCGATTATTGATTATCGTTCCGCATTTTCCAAAATCTTGAACTGAATCTTGGCAATTTCTCGTGACTACTTCACGACCATGATACATGCATATCTTAAATTAAACTTTTTAAGCCAAACACGTATATATATGATAAAATGAATGTCACCATCGTGTTCTACGCCCCAAATTACCCATAAAACATGTGTCACAGGATGCGAATATCAGTTTTGATTTTCGGGGATATGTGCCTACCCGGTTGACCTGACCTTGACCCTGACCTATGCATGACTGACCCCTACATGGAGCTGACACTCTTGTAGGCCTTATATGATGGATTGTGCACCGTTTTGACAGAGTTTTTGACGAGAGGCGCCCATTGCGAAGTCCTGAAGTCCATGCTACTGAAATACCGATTTCAGGTGTTTGACCTGACCTTGACCCGACCTGTGACCTCAATATTCAATTTTAAAGTACTCATCTGAAGCATCTCGTCGCGTTCTTTCGTTTGCCGTCTTGTGCGTTTCGCTGCACCTATTGGTTCTCGAATTATCGGCTGGGGGCTTTTAACGCCCCCCCCCCCCCCCAGCAAACGGTGGGTGGCGAAATACCCCAGCAACTGTCGGGCTAAACGCATTGATATTTGTTTTAGAATAGGTATACCGATTTAATCCATGGATTATGTCAACCAGCCAGGCAGACCTGTTTACTTGAATGTCCATGCACCCAGATACCAAAAGGATACCACTAATACGCCTCGTATTAGTGGTGTAGACTGTAGATACCTCATTATTGTCTCATAGAAAGAAGCAATAGGAGCTGAATATAAATAAATAAACATTCTGCACGCGTTCCATGCACAATCTAATTGCACCCTGAGATAAACTCTCAGAAGGTCTCTGCCTTCTCTTACATAGCACAAAGTATTGCGGTTATTGCTGCCCAGCTTCATTAACAAGCTGGTTTGCGTCATATATTAGCACCGGAAGCTCGCCCTATGACCCCATGCTATTAGGCTGTATAATAACCACCAGCCGCCTCAGACTACTCCCGCGAGAAATTTCTCAAGGCTGGCAGAATTTCCGCAGATAATGAAGCACTTGTCTGCCGTGAACTTCCGAAGCACCCTCCCAGTGCTGTGAGTGGGAGGAAATTTAGCTAGCCTGAGCAGTTCGCGTGTTCCAAGGGCCGACCTTTGGACATAGCCAGCAGCAAATTGAGATGAAGAGGAGTTGAGTTCAACTGAATGACAACCATCCCGATGAGCAGTCAAGTGGCTAATGCTCAGCGATAATGACTTTGATGTTTGGAGATGTGGATAACAGTTCTCTAAAGAATTGGTTCCACTTTGACAGGATGTTACGTTTTCAGAATGAGGGTGATGCGATTAAGGATTGACGACAATGACATATTGTAAATGGGCTACCTGTGTTTACTGTATTGGTTGAAAAAGATAGTTTCGAGTTTCAAATACGTGCGTACTTTATATCGGACAAAGTGTGCGAATCATAATTGAAAGCACCCCATTGACTCCGTGACATGCACATTGCACAGCTCAGCAGTGCGTATCTCATATTCTCCGTGCAGACACATTTCATTTTTATCTCTAAAAAAAAAACGGACACTGCCCATCCAAGCTGCCAGATTCCACTCGGTCACCCGCCCGTGTCGTCATGCACTGACCAGGCTGACAGAAATGTGGCCAGACTTCAGCTCGGCATAGGCTGTCTCTCATGAAGGAGGGAGAATTATCAGTGTTGGTGAGAGGCTCCGGACCGAGACCAGGCGCGTGGTCAGATGTAGTCCTTCGCGTCGATTGCCGAACTTCGCCCATGGGGTCTTCTGTTCAGTGACTGTTCAGTGACCGCTCAGTGACTGCTCAGTGACCGTTTGACCATCACTCGGTGACCGCTCGAGTGACCGTTTGGCCATCACCGGGTGACCGCTCGAGTGCCGGTCAGAGGGTCTGCAGTTCGCGCGGCCTGCACCCCCAGTGGCGATCGATGGTTAGAGCGCCGGCGGCCCGTCCGCCCGACAGACCGATGGTCCTGCCCTCGGAACGGCGGTCAGGCCAGATCGGAACGGAGCGCAGTTCACAGAGGAACGACAGAAGGCCAGATTAGAACAAAAGATAGATGAGATTGGAACGGGAGATGGGTCAGATCGGGACAAGATCGATTCTGAATGAAACTGTAGGCAGATTAGCATGAAAGTTAATAGAATCAGAACATGAAGCTATGATCGGAACAAAATACAGATCATTTTAGAATGGCAAACATGGGTCACTGGAACAGCAGATAGTTCAGATTAAAATGACAAACAAATTGGATCGCATAAAAATGCAGATTGAATGGTAGCTGAATGACAGAATGATTAGTTATAGACGGCCGGGCGAACACCGAACCTGAGAAGCATGCTGAAAAGTGCCCGATGATAGAAAATACCAGTGGCAAGCATCAGGCCACTAGAAACGATAGACTGGAAAACAGCTGAACAGCGGGCAGGTCAGCTGTGAGTGAATCACGGGTCGAAGTATAAATGTTGTTCAGCGGACAAATTGAATCTCATGGGATTTACAAGTATTAGGCCAGTTAGTACACACAGAAAAATACTGACACCGTTAGCGGTGTAATTGCACAGTACATATCTGAGCACTTGAGGAAAGTTAATTTAGTCCCTTCCCCGCTTAAATTACTCGCGCTTCTAAATGAACACCAGGAAGAAGGTAATAGAACACTGTTAGGAGGGTTGGGTGTTTTACTACATGTAGCAAAACACCCAACCCTCCTAACAGTGTTCTATTACCTTCTTCCTGGTGTTCATTTAGAAGCGCGAGTAATTTAAGCGGGGAAGGGACTAAATTAACTTTCCTCAAGTGCTCAGATATGTACTGTGCAATTACACCGCTAACGGTGTCAATATTTTTCTGTGTGTAGTTCATTTTCCTAAACTTATGGGAAGGCAGGCCATCCTATCTTTGAAGTGATGGTTAGGCTGAATGAGAGACAGACCATTTTTACAGTATGGGGTCGGAGAGGTTGGGTGACGCTAAAAGAAATTGAAAACATGAAATATGACCTTTCTAAAAATATCCCTAATACTACTAATATGTAGTAATGATAATGCTTATATACCATTACCAAAATGTACCACCATCCATGGTTGAAGATTAACCCTGCCGGACCTATTGGTTTTCTACATACGAGCCGGCCGAGGGGGGGGGGCGGGTACGACCCCCGTCGCCGTTTCGCCCCTGGTGGAGCTAGCGCGTCGCGGAAAAAACGAGCGTGTGCGCCGTTACGTGACGCAGAGATTGGTACGGGGACCCGCAGTTGCTACTGTACACGAACCCCAACTCTAGCCGTCTGTCCTGTCCAGTAACAACCGATAACATTGATATCGACTGCCGGTCCCTGTACGAGAGCAGCTGAGGTTTTCTGTGCGTGCCCTCTGACAGCTTATCATTGTTCACTGTGAGGGTGCTGGGACAATTTACTCAGGGTCGCTGTACAGTAGCAACTGCGGGTCCCCGTACCCGATTTTAAGGTCTTAGGTCAACCGGTGACCTCTGAGGTCAAGTCAAGTGCCCCAAGGTACGATTCAGTTTTTGGTGAATAACTTCGCAAAAAACGGCCGCAGAGCGCCAATTTTGGGAGCATCGTGTTCGCCTTGCTCAGGCGCGTCGAATGATATACTTTTTGTCCGGTTCAGGTCAACTTGGGGTGTTGACCTCAGGTCAAGG